CCCCACCACCTCCCCAGGGCGTACCTGGGCCTCAGCCAGCATGACATCCTGGATGATGGGTGGGCCACGGGGCTCACCATTCTCTAGCCGCACATAGGTGACCTGGTAGCCGCGGATCTGGCCATGCTGCCGGCCCGGCGCGGGGGACCGCCACAGCACGCGGATGGCCGTGGCGTTGAGCGCCTCCGCCTCCACCTTCCGCGGCGGCGCGCTGGGCACTGGCGGCGGGAGGGCGAAGCGGGAACGGAGGGGAGGGTGGGAGGTCCTGTTACTGGGGCACCCGGCCCTGCCCCGGGCGGCTGCTCGATGCCAGGGTGACAAGCAGCTGCTGGCTCGCGGGGTGCTCTAAGCGCACACCACCAGCGGCCCAGCGCGGGGAAGGGGCCCTGATGGCGCGCCCCGTTCACAGCTGGGGTAACTGAGCAGCCCCAGTGCCTGGCTACCTCCCAGGGCCACATGACATGAGAGGCCCTGAGCCTTGCTGGGAGAACCTCAGGCACGCCGCCACCACCCTCGCAGCACGCCCTCTAGACAGGGGCTTTTCCTCATCTACAGACGGGAAAGCCGAGGCCCGGCCCAGCTGCGTGCTCCTGCACACCCGAGTACGCAGCCAGCCCCTCGGCCCTGGAGATCTTTCTCCGCCGGCCCCCAGGTCAGAGGCCTCTAGTCCACCCCGCCCACGACCAGAACACAACGTGGGGCTGCCAACCACACCTTCCAGGTCAGTGGCTCAGAAAGCAAACCAGGTTCAAAGGGGCTCAGTTTTACTGGGGAAGCTGCTCGCTTCATTCAGCCCCAGCCCTCAGCTTCTGCCACGTGAGCATCCGCCTCACTGTGCAGCTTAAACCTTTCTACCTGCAATCGGCCACGGCAGGAGTACTGACACCCCAGAATTTGACCAACAGTACAAATCAGTCTCCGCCTCCCAGACAGCTGGTAGTTAAATGTTATCAGCACACAGTCCACCTACTCTCAGGTAGGAAGCCGCAGGTCCTGGCTCATCCCAAGATAAGTCTAAAAGGTAGGTTTCTGGGGTGAGGGACCATAAATTTTTTGCAAGTGCTACTGGCTGCTTGTTACACTTTGTTTCCATGGCTTCCACCACTGGACCAAAACACAGGGCTGCCAGCTCAACTTTCCAGGCACGAGGCTCAGGGAGCAAATGGTGCCCAAGGGTCTAGAACAGAATTCCCAGTCAGGGAGCCCAGGATTTCTTGGGGAGAGAGAGTGCTTCATGTCTCCCTCTCATGACAGTGGTGTCTACCTTTCGGCCACCAGCCAGCCCAGTCTTCCAGATAGAAGGCTCCAGGGCGGGGTGGCCTGGGGCCTGCGGGGGTCCCCAGGCTAGGGTGGTGCTTACCGTCCTCGTCGGTGCGGATGACCACGGGCGAGCTCTCGGGCCCTGGTCCCACCTCTGTGTGAGCGACAGTCGTGATGCGGTACTCCGTCCACTTGTCCAGTGCCTCCAGCAGGATCTGAGTGGTGGTCGGGGGGATGCCGTTCACCTCCTTGGGTTGCGGGTCCTCCGAGCCCAGCGGTCGGTAGCGGACGCTATAGCTCACCAGGGCCCCGTTGTGCGTTTCCGGCGGTGGCGGGCGCCAACTTACCAAAATGGCCGTGGAGCGTGTGCTGACACACTTAACATCTTGAGGGGGGGCAGACGGTTCTAT